AAAGCCGGTCCCGACCATGGCAGGAAGCTCAGACCCTGCTGAGAGGCGTAAGCACCGTGAGACGTACGTACAAGTGACACCCAGAGAGTGATGGATCAATATCGACACGTCTCCCTGCCCGTCCCGGCTCCGAGCCAGCGCTGGACTTATCCCCCTGGAACGTCTCTCGTTCTGCTCTGAGCCGGGTTCCGGTCCTGAGCCCCACAGCGCCCCTGGCAGCGAGGGCCACAGAGCGACTGGGCGCCCACAGAGTCGGCACGGCTGGGACAAGAGAGATAACCGGCCGGAGCTAGTGACGAGGCGAATGTTTTCTTTTCTCGCCCATGGAAATCCTTGTTCACCCTGAAACGAGGCACCTTTGGTCTGACAGGCAAGTGCTCCCAGGTGCTGAACAGGCGGGGGGCGGGCATTAAGGGAAAACTGGTAAACTGAGGCACGCTGCATCTTTGGGTTGGAGGGGACCAGGAACTTCGGGGTGGCCAGTGGCCGGGGACTGGATAGAACAGGGCAGCCATTCAGCAGACGTGGCGACAGGCTGCCAGAGACGGTCCATGGGGAGACGTCCCACCATGAAGGAGTCCATGGGCCTTGGCGGCCCCGCACCTCCCAGCCGTGGGGCGCCTCAGTCGAGCGCTAATGAATGTTTTCTCAGTCACTGCCCCCCCCTCGGGGGCTCGTTAAGCTAATGGAGGCGGCTCTGCTGCCCTCGGGGCCTGCGTTCTGGGGTTTATCTTCATGGAGGGGCGGCGGATCCTCTGCAGACGCCGGGGAAAGTCAGAGCCATGCGCCCCTGTGCGAGGTGAGCCTGGGGTCAGGGTGCGTGTGGGGCACCGCAGGGGAGAGGCTGGGGTGGCAATGCCGGCTGGACGAGGCGAGCTGGGGCTGGGTGCAGGGGGGACCCTGGGAGAGGCCCGGTGCAGGGCGACTCCACCAGCCAAGAGGCCTGGCAGGGCAGACTGGGGGGGGCAGACGGTGGAGTGTAGGGTCCTGTCACCGACAGCGAGTGTCTGAGCGGCAGCGCGGCCAGGGCCTGGGGCGGGGGCCTGGGACCGACAGGGACCAGCCTGCGACCTGCCCCGACACCCGGACACGCCGTGCGAGGGCTCCGTGCCACAGAGCAGGGCGAGGGGTTTGCCAGCGACGTTCCCCCTCGTCCTCACTCGGTTTGTTTGCACTGGGCAGTGGGCACGGAAGGGCATTCGCCTGGCGCTGTCGGCGCTGAGCCGTGGGCCGGGCAGTGTGCAGTGCGGAGGGGGGAGCCCGGAGTGGGGACACCCCAGTCCATGCCCCGCCCCCGCTCACGGTGAGCGTCACACGGTTGGAGGGTCAGGGACCCCAGAATGCTGGGTCCAGCCTCGTTAGGGTCAGGAGGACTCTGCCGCCCAGGAGAGTGGAACGAGGGTGTAGACGCCCCTAATCCCCCTTCTCTCGTCAGAGGAGAGTCGTCCCCGCGCCGGAGCTGGCCCCAAACTTCCCATAGGGCTGCGGGCGAAGGGCTGCGAGTGTGTTTGGAAACCGGTACCAGGTCTCCCCGAACCTCCCAGGGCTGCGGACGAAGGGCTGTGAGCCTGTTTGGAAACCGGTACCAGGTCTCCCCCTCCCCGGCTCTCTGATGAACTGAGCACCAGGGCCCCTCTCAGGTAGGTTCCCGGACGCGCTGGGCAGTCGCGGCTCCGGCTTGGAGATGCACCTGACTCTCAGGGGCTGCGTCCCCTCCTTGCGGTGCCTCGACACAGCGCCCCACGGAGAACCCCCGGCCACTCCCCACAGTGACACTGCTGTGTCAGCACCACTGCTCCGGGCGGGGCGCACAGCAGCGCCGTGGGTCGCACACGGGATGGGGAGACACCGAGAGGTCTCCGCCGGAGCCCTGGGTCCCGTTCTGGGCTGGAAAGGAGGGCTCAGGCGGGAGCCAGTCCGGAGGGGAGCGGGAGGCGTGAGGAAGGTCAGAAAACCTGGCGCAGGAGACGTGGCTCCAAACTCCTGAGAAAGGCGGAAGCAGCCTCACCTTTGCTGCGGGCGGGGGCAGCCGGGCCGGGCGGGGCTGTTCTCCGTGGCCACAGAACTGCAGCAGGGGGGCTGGGCGGGAGGCCGGTCAGACCCCAGGGGGCCGTGGGGTGCCCGTCCCTGCAGGTTTCTCA